CAGCATTGTACGTGTTATTAAATTTACTGAAAGTAAATAAAGATACGTCTTACGACACTTAAAACATATATTTACGCTTATACTGTTACTCACAAGATGGTAAATATACAAAAGATGGTAAGTGGTGATCGATTTCGATTGGACACTCCAATCATCATCAGACCCGATAGGCGAAGTTCGCTTAGACTGTAGGTTTGCTGTGGCGGGGGTATTTTAATTATAAAATTAAACTGCCATAACCTAACCAAACTAACCAAATTTGCTGATAATAAAAAAATCCAACGAAGGTTTACTAATCGAAAAAATGGTTCTGTTCATAAAATAAAACTATAAATGACTCAAATTCAATTTTATAATTTTTTTACCATAAAATTAAATTGTCATGACCTAACCAAACTAACAAAACTTGCTGATAATGAAAAAATCTAATGAAGGTTTACTAATCGAAAAATATTTCTGTTCATGAAATAAAATAATAAATACAGTAGGGGACCTCAAATTCTAACAAAAGATGTACTACAGTTAAGAAGTAATCGCATTCTAAGCTAAATCGTTGACAAAAAGTTATTGCTATCAGTGGGGATCGAATCGGCTGCCTTCAGTTCATCAGCCAGGAACGCTTCCACTTCACCACCTAGGACGATGGCTCAATGCCGTATCGTTGCGGGTGTTCTCTCAAGAGAAGAGATCTGACAGCTGACGTCATCGAAGGCTCTTTTATACCTCCCTTGGGTAAATACCGTATTTTTCTAGTATTCATAGATAGGAGGAGCGAGCTGGTGTAGTGGTTAGAGCACGGGACTTCAGTCCCTGAGGTCCCGGGATCAAATCCCGCCAAGTCACTAATGGATTTTATCTAAGTGATATTGCCGCAACCCCTAGGTCTAGCTTGAAGTAATGTGAAAAACAATTCCGGGCTCGTGCCTAGTGTCCTAGGACAAAAAAAGTATTCGGGGATAAAACATAGTCCCTTAGTAGATTTCTCATCCTTATGGAACAGCTGAAGCCAATTTTATTGTTAGTTCTGTCCGGTGCACTAGAGGTCGTGTTTTGTTTAAAATTTGTTTCTTGTTATATTTCATTAATTCAAAACCTCGTTTAACCAAACAAAATGACCAATGACCAAATCATGAACAATAACAACTCGTCCCCTAGTGGCCCTAGTTATATGACCAAACAGTATAGCACAAATCGTGAAATTTACCCTAAAATGAAACACAATTTCGTCGACACTAGAGATCAGTGTCACCGGACATGAACTAGACACGAAAAACGAGCTTCAATCCTGCACCAGGGGCCCATTTCATAATAAGCTACAAGTTACAAGTTACAACTTGTAACTTGTAATTTCCATTAGATTTGCATTGGGCGATCAGCTGATTTACTAATAATATTAGTTTGTACTTTATTATGAAATGGGCCCCTGGTTACAAGTTACAACTTGTAACTTGTAATTTCTATTAGATTTGCATTGGGCGATCAGCTGATTTACTAATAATATTAGTTTGTACTTTATTATGAAATGGGCCCCAGATCGTAGTTGTAATGGGTGAGGTTCATAAGGTCCAAATTTCACAAAGTCCAATGGTTAAAATATTAATAAACAGAGCGTTTCACAAGGTCGAAATTTCACAAGGTCCAACGGTTAAAATATTAATAAACAGAGCGTTTCACAAGGTCCAAATTTCACAAAGTCCAACGTTAAAATATCAAATGAACATAGCGTTTCACAAGGTCCAACGGTACAGTCTCGGCCAGAAGTCGCTGCAGAGGTTGCCGTGGTTCGGTATTTAGGCACTACACTACCTAGTGTTGTTGCCACGCGTCACAAAACATCATTGTGGGTCCGTAGATACAGTACGTTGTATAGAGTGTAAAGTAGTGGTATTCACCCCCTCCGCAGCAAACCTGCAGACTAATCGATTTTCCATTTCCCTTATTTGATTTACACTAGAATATCTCCTTAAAAATGATCACATTTATTCCCTATTTAAATAGCATTAGTTTAACAAGTACCGTACTTAGGTTTGCTGCAACAGGGAGTAATCAGTAATCAGTAGTTGAGCGCCGGCGGACGGTGCCTGCTATCTGACCGTGGCAACCAATGTAGAGACTTCTGGCGCAGACTGTACCGTTGGACCTTGTGAAATTTGGACCTTGTGAAACGCTCTGTTTATTTGTTTTTTTAACATTGGATATTGTGAAATTTGGACATTGTAAAACAGTGATTATTTGAATGTTATAGTTTTGGACTTTATGAAATTTGGACCTTGTGAAACGCTCTGTTTATTTAATATTTTAACCGTTGGACTTTGTGAAATTTGGACTTTATGAAACGCTCCCGTTGTAATATCTTTAAGTATTGTCAACTGCCAACATGATATCAGGAGTACACAATATTGCGTGCCCAATAAAAGCACGCGGTTTTGTGTTGTTTGGTTGCTGGTGCGCTGAAAAAAAAACAGTGCGGCAAAAGTAGGGTATATGCAGAAATTAGCAACTTTCTGTGCTATAATCAGTGCAAGGAAGGCCACATTGTCAGTCGACTGTAGGAAATAATTATATGTGTAACTAGGGGGTGGAGTGGCACTTTGCTACAAACGAGAAAAATGTTTACAGTACCCAATTAAATTCACATGGTTCCGTAATTCAAAATTAAAAAGAAAGGACATTATTACGATGGGGTACAGTTTCTTAAGTTGGCTCCGCTGATATCAATTGAAACTATCGATTGAAAATGTCGATTAATAATCTATATTTGTAACTATATCAATTATAAAATGAAACCGCCTAACCTAACTAACTTGCCGATAGTGAAAAATCTAATTAACTAATCAAATCGATGGTTTCAATGGATACTAGCTTAGTCCAGTTAAGAAACTGTACCCCATCGTACTTAATGTCTTACTTTTTAATTTTGAATTACGGACCCATGTGTATTTGTTAATAAAAATCGACGTTTTTAACTATGTCAGTTATAAAATCTAACTGTCATAACCTAACCTAAACTAACCAATCTTGCTGGTAATGAAATGAAAAAATCTAATGAAGGTTTACTAATTTAATCGATATTTTCAAACGATATTGCGTAGCATAGGCCACATTTCGTAGCCCAGTTAAAAAACTGCATCCTTACGATGTGTAGACTACGCTTAGGACATGCTTTAATCTTAACAAATCTCTATTCCTGATTAAGATATATTTTACACCACTCTGCCTTAGCCGTACAGGAATCAGTAGAACACTTGATTATTGAATGCCTTGCACATGAATCCGCCAGGAATAGGTGTTTCAAACTAACTCAGAAGATAATACAGAAATGTAACAGCTCCGACTATTTACAAGAAATTATCATAACTAATGACTTAAATATATCAAGAACTCATAAGATTTCCTCATATACATAAAGAGAAATTTTTAAACAAAAAACCATGGCCACCTTTAACTCCAGGCCGCGGCCTTCGAAGTGACAACATCGCAAGTAGTGTTGTTGTTGTTAACAACTGTTTTATTTGGAGGCAGCTAAATGGTTTTTTTTGTCCATTTTTTTAATTTTAATTTTTTTTTTTAGAATACGAAAGCTTGGTTACTGGGCATTAAAAATATTAAAATCAACTTTTAAATGCACAAAAATAGATTTTCAATTTAAATATTGTTTTGTTTTCAATTCTATATGTTTTATTTTAAATACTTTAATAAATTTATGTTCATAAAAATATAATTTAAATGAACAATACTCAAATGAATGAGCTGGTTTCACCTGTCTGCCATGTTATCTTATGGGACGTCTGGCGCTAGACAACACTACTTGCAACGTTGCCAATTCTACCAGGCCACGGCCTTCGAAGTGGCAACATCGCAAGTAGGGTTGTAACAGCTGTTTTGTTTGGAGGCGGCTAGTGGTATTTTGTGTATTTTTTAAAATACAAAAGCTTGTTTACTTGGCTATGCAAATATTGACTCTAATTTAATGTACAAAAATAGATTTTCAATTCAAACAATGTTTTGGTTTTCGATTCTATACATTTTATTTTCAATCTTTTAATAAATTTATGTTCATAAATTTAAATTTAAATTAATAATACACGAACTAATGAACTGGTGTCACCTGTCTGCCATGTAATCTTATGGGATGGCTAGCGCTAGACACCACTTGCAACGTTGCCAATTCTACCAGGCCGCGGCCTGGAGTCAAAGGTGGCCGTGCGGACGGCCGTGCCAAAAACTATAATCAAACCACGGCCGCCTTTAACTCCAGGCCGCGGCCTTCGAACTGGCAACGTCGCAAGTGGTGTTGTAACAGCTGTTTTTGTTTGGAAGCAGCTAATAGTATTTGTGTATTTACGAAATATGGTTACTGGACTATGACAATATTGACTCCGCTTAAAAATGTACAGATATAGATTTTAATTAATATTTTTTCGGTTTTCAATTCTGTATGTTTTTTATTTTCAATATGTTAATAAATTTATGTTCATAAATTTAAATTCAAATCAATAAAGCGCGAATTAATGAGCTGATGTCAGCTGATGCCATGTTATCTCATGGGACGTCTGTCACTGAACAACACCACTTGCGACGTTGCCAATTCTACCAGGCCGCGGCCTGCAGTTAAAGGGGACCGTGAATCAAACACTCACATAAATGCATTCCAAACCTTGGGTTCTTCACCCATGGCCCATGGGCCTCCTTTTAGACAACACATCACAGTCACAGCATTTCTATTCCTTTTCGGAATAGAAATGCTTATGACATTCAAGCGAGAGAAGTCTCCAACCCAAAACCCAACCTTTCTCACAACATTGAACATTACCATCAAGGACTTGGAATCCTACTAAATACCACCTATTAACAAGAAACTACAAAAAAAATCTATTAACAAAAAAACTTACAAACCTATGAAAACCATAGAATCGTCAATATTAATATCGAGTAAACAACAAGGCTGCATAGTATGATCTATAATATAAGCCTGCTTTCGAGCAAACAAAATATAAAAAATTGTGGTAGAGGTTATGTTAATGTTATGATTATGATACAAAATAATGTAAATGTTATGGTTGTAGGAATAAAAACATATCATTGAAAAGGTGTGTTAAACATTTGTACGTATTTGTATTCTTAATTCTTAAAGCATATCTCTTGGATAAGTTGGTGAACGTGTTTTCTTAATTGTTTGAAAGTAGTCAATTAGTGATTGTAGGCTAATTAAATAAGAGGTAACGATAAACCAATTTATTAAGTTACTTATGCTCAAGGCCTAGGGGTTGCTTGTGTTACAAGGTTTAAGTTTTAAAACAGTTTGGTCAAATGTTTCTCGTTTTCCAAATCATGTTCGGGTCTCGGGACGGGTACAGTTTATTTTTTTAACTGGGCTAGGCCTATGCTAGGCCTAATATTGATTCTTTTTAATGTTTGTGGAAAATTGGTTGAGATTGGTATTGCCTTCAATTCCATTCCTCTTCGGTTGGTTCCTGATTCCTGAGAAGCATAATGGTAATTAGGCCTACTTACACTCACGGCACAGCTGCATGGGATGTAGTGGAGATGGATCTATGTAGGCTACCGTAGCTTTGTTATTGACTAATAGGCCTACGGTATCTGTTGATTTATTCTTCCGCTAGGGCTATTTAGGCCTATTAGGCCTAAAAGTCATATGATCAGGGATAGTTGGGCCTAGGCCTATTTTAAAATCAATCTAAAACCCTTTGACTCTTCTCAGAATCGAAAAAACCTCAACCTTAAATTGATAGAAAGCTCCATACAACCACTCAGTCCCCCAGCTACAATTCAACTTATTTCACACACAAATTTAAACAAAATTCCTGTTCTCTAATAAAAAAAACACAGCCGCATAAGTTAATAGACAAATGTGGTGTTGGCCCGTCCTACGTACAACTAGGCCTAGTAATAAATCAATAGTATAAATCAAGTTGGTATGTAACTTATTCTAACTTATTAACACTGAATATAACTCAGAACCGCTAGTTTACACACATATAAACAAATTCTGACAGTTTCAATAGGGGAAATCATCTTTTAAGTAGAACAAATGTCACATGGCCACCAATTATTTCTTTAACCGATTATAGGCCTAGATACAATTTCATTTCATTTCAATATCTTTGGGCCTATTCAAGAATTAGCTGTGTACCCGTTCAATGGACGGGATTTTTTAGTCAGTTGAACCCTTCTTATAATCAGATTTAGCAGTTGGTTTGCGTGCATTTTTTAAGATATGCAGGCAAAACTTCGTATAACTTACAGCACTGTTTCAGGGTCTGTTTCCCGGTTATCAAAACTCAAGTTGAATTTGATACACACACAGAATCTCCGCTTAGCAACCTAAATAATGCATAGAAATTTAATTTCATTTACGGTTACAGTACACATTATTGCACTTACGATTTATTAATCCGTTATGTGAGGCAAAACGTTTTTAATCTCACAACAATGTTTTTAATCTCACTTGGTTTTGGATTTTCTTACAAAACTTGATCAGAAATGGTTGCAGTAGCCTATTTGTAAACAACATTTAATGTACCTAAACATATCCAGTGACAGCTAAAAAAATAATCTTTATCCAAATAGCTGTTCGTTATTTCATAGATGTCGTATTCTCCAAACAGATTATTAGTATTTCATAAATGAAGTAATTGTTGCCACGCCTGCTTACACCTAAGAATTTGAGACTGTAAATTATGGAAGATAGGTGCTCTGAAATGTACGCATTAGAACCCGGGCACGATACGAGCGTCGAGCCCACTGCTCTGCAATCGGGCCCAAATGTTGCCGCGCAAATTTGAAGAGGAGTGTCATGATAGACCGGAGAGGCGAGCGACAGTCAGTGGCGCTGCTAAGTGTCAAAAGCACTACCTCATCCTGCCCGGATACTTTTTGTACGACGCTCTACGCTCAAACGAGTCATGCTTCTTCCCACTTTTTTCAGTCTAGATCAAGATGTCAGAGGAACAAGAATCACGTGGACCTCGAGTCAAACTTAACACGTTCGCTGCTACGGACGTTCCGGAACGTCAAACGGGCCACGGCGCCAGGAGCTAGGAACGTTCCGGAACGTCGCTGTTCATCAATGTTTAACGTTACCATGGATCAGCCAGCTCGTCACGAGCGTCCTATATTTCTTTGCAGCTCACGGGGATGTACTTTTCTGACAATAAAAAAAATATAGTTTCCCAAAATCACCACCAGGGTTGTTTAGAACAGGGCTTTGTCCCACCTCTTTCCTGCTAGATAGCGACACTACTTTACCGACTGCAACCTGGGTAGTGCTGCTATCTATCAGAATCACTTAGTACTATGTCCAAAGCCAGTTTTATTGCAGAACATTGCTATCCAGTATAACTACTGTTGTTTTTACTGCAATTCAGTGTATCAGCGGCAATGTTTACGCAGCGGCGAGCGTTAGTTCAGCTCCTGGCGCCGTCCCGTCATCTAGCGGTCAGCAGCAAACGTGTTAAGAAAAAGGACATTGTTGCTTTGAAAAAGCTTAGTGAGATTCAAATTGAAACTTTAATACGTGAAGTTAAGTGTTGTTTATCATTATGGAATGATTAAGACAACAACTTCAAGAAGACTACGTTGTGGGAACAGAAGAATGGAACACAGAAGCTGTGGGATGAAGTGGGAACAGCATTTGACATGTCGACTAAATTATTAAAATAATTTCCATCAAAATATGGTAGTTTTAGGGACAGTTTTTAAGCAAAAAGTACAAGCCGTTCGTTCAAACAGGCGCTCTAACGCCGCTTGTATCTTGACCACCCTCAACGCTCTGGTGACGCTCGAGTGCCATTTTATGCTCGTCGCTCAATCCTAGTAACCTAATCACCAAATATTTATCTAAACTGTATTTTTATGCTTTTTATCTGTTTGTGTAAGTTATTTAATGTTTTTTGTGTGGTATTTTTGTCACTAAATTGAATATTTATAAAAAACAGCTAACAATGTATCAGCTTCTAAACTTAGTGGTTGTAAAAAAATGTCAATGCAGTATAAGAAGTTTAATTGAACCCATTAAACCCTAAATTACATTTAGTGAAAGCATAGATAAAACATACTTCCTTAGTAGATATCTCATCCTTATGGCTACATACACATGGAAGCGTTGCAACGCGCTTCAGATAAGCCTTTGCGTACACATGACAGCGTTGCAACGCACGTTTGAGCAATTTTGTCTCATGGCATGTCCCGACATAGCCATAAAAGTCGAAAAGGTAGTTTTTGTTTGGGATTTGTACCATAGATATAAAGAACGAAAACAAAATCAAAATATACCCCCGTTGCAGCTTAATTTTATATTTCGGTTATAAAATATTAAATTTTTAATGTTTTTGGGCATCAAAATTAAAAAGTAAAGCGGTATCGGGTAACCGTGCTGAGGAAAATTTCTTAAGAACACTTGGGACAACATCCAATTTTACAAGAAAGTTTAGCTCGTATGTTTTTTACTTTGTAACCTTATCGATGATATATGAACGTAAGCTTTTTAATTAGGTACTAAAGTATGATAATTGCTTCATTTAACAAAAGTTAAAGTCTGTCTAGCACCTTGTGAGAGCATTGTCAGGGATTGGATTTCAACAGAAGAGAACATCGTAATTACCATATGGTATTGTATATAGAAGTACTCAGTAAACATACATAAAACCTACTCCCCTCTACTCCAAAACGCGCGTTACAACGCTCTCATGTGTACGGTCCCATTAGAACCTTCATAACTCGAGGCACGCTGCTAGCGCGCGTTGCACGATGAACCTCAGAGGCGGCCGAAGCACTGGCGCTGCATGTGTACACACCCATTTGATTGCTGTGTTTCTAGGACGCGCGTTGCAACGCTCCCATGTACGTACAGGGTCTATGGAACAGCTGAAGTCAGTGGCGTCATTTCACCAAATCCTTGGGGGGGGGGGGGCAAACACCGGGGGGTCTGGGGGTCCCCCCCCCGGAAAATGTAGCAGTTTTGAAACAAAAATACCCCCGCTGCAGCAAACCTGCTGACTTAGCGAATTTCCATTTGTCTTAATTGATTTTCAGTTAAATATATTTTAATAACATTAGGTTTAACGAGTACCTAGGTTTGCTGCTACAAGGAAACTAATAAAGTGTGTTTTTTTGTAAAATATTGAGAGCTTAGTACAAAATAAATAAATTTGATCAAAATACAAAATATATCTATAAACAAACAAACTTCAACATTTGACAATATTCTCCATAAGAATAACATGGGAATTTTAAATTTACAATTTTTTTAATTTTCTCCGTTACTATTAACCGAACAAAAATACTTTTATATACTAAATTAATTGTTTTTTTAAGCTCTTTAAAAAGGTCTAAAGTGAAATTGGGAAATTTTGTGTTTTGAGGGTCAAAAGTGAGAAAAACCAATTTTTACCCCATAAAACCCCCCGTAAAGCCCCGTTCCCATGGTCCGATCATGCTGGTTTGCAAACTCATTCAAGTTTATCCCGCTTTACACCTTTAAACCAAATTTCATCAAAATCGGACAAAAATTACTCAAGTTATCGCGTTCACGGACGTATATATATATATATATATATATAAACATATATAACAATTTGAACGAATGGTGTTTTTGGCCTCTGGGGACATCAAAATGAAAAAGTAAATCGGTCCCGGGTCTAGGTCTTACCGTGACACCTACGGTAATAGCTACTTCCCTATAGGGAAATTCGCTAAAAGAGGGGTGTAAGCTTATTTTAAATTGTCAAAAGCACTTCAAATACAGGGTGGAGCGCGGGAAATTGCTATTTTGAGTTGCAGGTGGTTGGCAGCACTGTTAGTCAAAAAGAGGCGGAAGTGGGCGATGATTGTTGTGACTGACCGGAAGTTTGTCTTCAGCTCATTTTGAGTTGCCATCATGGAGTGGACACGTGAGGAGCGTTCATTTTGTGTTGAAGCATATTTTTCAAATAACTACTCGATAATTGCAGTGCAACGTGCTTTCCGTTTGCGTTTCGCTGTTTCCCCACGCGGACGTGTTCCTGGACGGCAATCAGTTGTGAATTGGGTGAATGCATTCAGGACAGCAGGGAATGTGTCATCTGTACGAAGAGGACCTGCGAGGAGTGTTACAACACCACAAAATATCGAACGAGTTAGAGCAGCAGTATTGCAATCTCCGAAACGCTCTGCTCGGAAGCAAGCACTTGCTCTTGGCATTTCAAGGCGTTCTCTCCACCGGATTCTCCATAGTGAACTGCATTTCCACCCATATAAAATGTGTGTGGTCCAACAATTGTCAGCACGGGATTATTTGACACGACGAACATCTTGTGAAGACATGCTTGCAACCATACCTCGTGACGCAATTGTGTTCTTTTCTGATGAGGCACATTTTCATCTCAGTGGGTGTGTAAATAAGCAAAACATGCGGTACTGGAGTGACACAAACCCCAGAGAAGTTCATCAGAGACCTCTGCATTCGGACCGCGTCACTGTGTGGTGCGCCTTATCACGAGTAGGCATCATTGGCCCTTACTTTTTTCCGGCAACTGTGAATGCCGAACGTTACCTAACTATGCTGCAGGATTTTTTCCATCCAGCACTTGAGGCAATGCAATTAGAGGATACATGGTTTCAACAAGATGGTGCCACTGCACATACAGCGAGAGTTACCATTGATCTTTTGAGGCAAATGTTTCCTGAACGGCTCATCTCTCGCAATGGTGATCTGAACTGGCCGGCACGCTCACCAGACTTAGCTCCATGCGATTTTTTCCTTTGGGGTTACCTGAAGTCCAAGGTGTATTGCAACCGTCCCAAAACCCTGGAAGAGCTAAGGAGCAATATTGCTGCTGAGATTGCCAGAATACCAGTCGACATGCTTGAAAAAGTGCATGAGAACTTCAGAAAACGTATGCAGCAGTGTGTGGATCGGGAAGGTCAACATTTGCCAGATATAATATTTAAAACAAAATAATTTGTAAATTCCATTACTGTTCAATGTAAGTGAAATATAAAATTAAGTTTCTACATGTTAATAATTTTTTTATTCCACTCCCAAATAAGCAAATTACCGCGCTCCACCCTTTACAAAAAAAAAATTATGAGTAAAATTTATTTAAATTTAGGCAGAAAGTTAATGAAACTAAGAATTATTGACAACAGACAGAAACACAATAATTTTAATGTTGGTAAGTTAGTCATCTAAGAAACGTGATCAATAGTTCCATGATTTTAGCGAATGTCCCATATAGGGAATAAGCTATTACCATAGTACTCATGGTAAGACCTGGACCCGTGACCGATTTACTTTTTCGTTTTGAGGTCCCTAGAGGCCAAAAAAACCATCCGTTCAAATTCATTTAATATATATATATATATGTCATTTAGCACAATAACTCGAGCAAAAATGATCCGATTTTGATGAAATTTGGTATAAACGTGTAAACCTATATTTATTCGAACGAGTTCGCGAACCAGCATGATCGGACTATGGGAATGGGGGTTTATGGGGGGTTTTATGGGGTAAAAATAGGTTTTTCCCATTTTTGACGCTAAAAACAGAAAATTTCACAATTTCTTTCCAAGCCATTTTGTAGAGCTTAAAAAAACAAATAATTTAGTATATTGAAGCGTTATCGTGTGCCTAATGGTTACGGAGAAAATTCAAAAAATTGTAAATTTAAAATTCCCATGTTATTCTTGGAGAATAAGTCAACTGTTGTAGTTTGCTTGTTTATGAACATATTTTGATAGAATATGTAAAATACATCCATTTCTTACTAAACTATTAACATTTTACAACAAAAAACAGCTTTTTATCCTCCCTGTTGCAGCAAACCTAAGTACTCGTTAAACTAATTCTATTTAAATAGGGAATAAATGTGATATTTTTCAGGAGGCATTTTAGTGTAAATCCAATCAGGCAAATGGAAATTCGCTTAGTCTGCAGGTTTGCTGCGGCGTGGGTATTTAATATTATGTTTGTTATTAGATTCATGACCAATTTCTCTTGTACAACATTTAGCAATGAATACGGTTGTTTATAGCCTATAGTTCATAACAGTTTATTTCGGTTTTTAAATAAAATACAAGTATTTAAGAACTTAAAAGCAAATCAAATTTCATCACCAATAAAATAATTTGACACAAAAGTACAAAAGGTTCTATTTAACTACCTATATTAAATTGGTAGTTTACAATGTTCAAAATAAATTACGTAAAATTTTTACACATGTATAATTTTAATGCTTGAATAATTCATAAAAGTAAATGACAAAGCAATGGTTCTAAAAAATCTGAATTTTTATGTATATAAACTAGAAGTAAACTTACTTACTAACTTGCTTACACTTGTGGTTTATCGTACAGCACCAAACAGAAAAATTCAATGAATAAAAAAACTACTAATTTATGTAAACTCAAAATGTGCTATCTAAGACGATAAAACAATAATAATTTTTGTTTCAAATTACTGTACAAGAATATACAGATTTGTGTCTTCTGTGCTTTTTAGGATTTGACAGGAGAAAATATTTGTATATTGGCTAGTACAGCATATTTTTTTCTCTAGCCCAGGATCCAGGGGGGGCAAATGCCCCCCCCCCCCACAAATGACGCCCCTGACGGCTGAAGACAATTTTATTGTTAGTTCTGTACGGTTTATGTAGAGGTTGTGTTTTGTTTACAATTTGTTTCCCGTTATTATAGTCATTTAAAACCTCGTTTAACCAAATAATATGATCTAATCCTAAACAATAACTTGTCCCCTAGTTATACATAACCAAACAGTAAAGCACAAATCAAGAAATTAACCCTAAAATAATAGAAGCAAAATTTCGTCAACACTAGCGCCCAGTGTCAACGTACATGAACTAGACACGAAAAACTTGCGCTTTAAAATTTACAATGGGATGAGAAGTCTACTTGTGTTGGTTAGTCTATGGTGAAAGTTTGTTTTGTAGCCAGAGCCGTCTTTATAAAATGCGAGGCCTGGGGCAATACATAATTGCGAGGCCTTGTTTAATTAAGCTCACCAGGGGTTTGGGGGGTACGGAGTACCCCCCAGCTGAGGGGACCTCTAGTTTTCGCTGATATTCTTCTTTAATAAAGGCCTTTAAAATGAGGGGTCACTCGATGGGGCTTTACATTTAAAATTTTGGAGCTACCCCCAAAAAACCTCATTTTGGGGTCCCGGGAAAAATTGGGATACCGTCCAAAAAGTGCAGTTTTATTTTTAATGAAGGTATGTGGAGTTAAGTTTTCCTAGTGTCACCCATTAAAAAGTTAACTAGGGGTATCCACACATTTGCCCAACCCTGTAGTATACCCTAAATTTAAAGAAACAAATTTGATCAAACTGTGTCCTCTCCTATTGCAAACGCAAAGCTTGAGTATAACTGCAATCAGCATTTTGTACTTATATGCAAAACCCCGTACGAAGGACGGGTACTCTGCTATTATTATATATAAATAACCCCGCCGCAGCAAACCTGCAGACTAAGCGAATTTCCATTTGCCTGATTGAATTTACACTAAAATGTCTCCTTAAAAATATCACATTTATTCCCTATTTAAATAACATTAGTTTAACGAGTACTTAGGTTTGCTGCAAAAGAGAGGGTAAAAAGGTGTTTTTTTTTTAATGTTAATAGTCTAGTATGAAACTAATGCATTTTCCAAATTTGATCAAAATATGATCTAGAGTCAAAAATGGGGAAAAAACTAATTTTTGCCCCATAAAACCCCCCATAACCCCTGTTCCCATAGTCCGATCATGCTGGTTCCTCGAACTCGTTCGAATAAATGTAGGTTTACACGTTTGTACCAAATTTCATCAAGATCTGATTATTTTTGCTCGAGTTATCGCGCTAACGGACACATATATAAATATATATGTATTATTAATTTATTAATATTAATGTATTATTTATTAATATTAATTACAGTAGCCCTACACCTGAAAAATATCAAATATAATATATATATATGAATTTGAACGGATGGTGTTTTTGGTCTCTAGGGACCTCAAAACGAAAAAGTAAATTGGTCCCGGGTCCAGGTCTTACCATGAGTACTATGGTAATAGCTTATTCCCTATATGGGAAATTCACTAAAAATATATAAATATATATATGAATTTTAACAGAGGGTGTTTTTGCCCTGGGGACCTCAAAACGAAACAGTAAATCCGTCCTGGGACCATAAGACCTACGGTAACAGTTTATTCCCTATATAAGAAATTTGCTAAAAGCTGTTATCTCATTTATTCAAGTTAAATATTTATGTTTCAGAGGTAAAATGTACAACCCAAACACCTGTACACGGCAACGTTGGGGCTATCCCAAGGACGAAGATAAAAATCTTGTTGCAGCCTTCTTCCATTTATTTACAATCCTGTTAATATGCACTTCTTTGATTCATTTAAACTGGTTTCGTATATGGGGAGGACACTGCACGCCATACCTAGCTACCAATCAGTTTTTTGAATTTGGCGAATTTTACGCAACAACACACAACCAATATCATCTGAGAAGTGGAGGAATTATAACTTCACCCAGTGGTTATGTAATTCACTATAACACTTCATCTGAATGTAAGTATAGTATTATTATAAAGTTTGACATGACGTTCACTGCTTATTTAGGTTTAGGAGCATTTCACAAGATCCAAAGTTTATTAATAAAATAAACAGTTACCTTGTTCAATATCCTTTGGTGTTGTTAGATGACGACCGTTTTCGTGACGACAGTCACATCATCGGGTCAATCCTCGTAGAACGATTCGTTATAATAAATACATAAAGTTTTTACCGAACACAAAACAAAAACACATTATATTTACAAAGCATTTACAGACAGAAACCATTGCGATGCGTGCACGCTTATGTCGAGCCGGCCGCGACTGGAGTTCCGTCGAAGGTCAAGGTGACGTCATCTGAAATCAGCTGATCGGTGGTTTCTGGTTTCCTTTCTCTGTCTAATTTTATGATAGTGTCAAAAAACTTGTTCCCCTGACTATTGATTTTGTCATTTAAAAACATGTTTTGTTTCTAATTTAAAGGCCTTATATATTTCAAAATTTTCGAAAGCTGTTGTTTTGGCTTTATTGTTGCATGTGTGAATTACTGTCATATTTTCTTCGATTTTTGAATAGTTGTGGTTGCTACTGACTAGGTGTTCGGCGTAATTAGACTTTTGAGTCGGGGTGTTTTTTGGTAAATGCTCTTTATATCGGGTTTTAAATGATCGCCTAGTTTTGCCGATGTAAAATTTAGGGCAATCTGTGCAGGTCATCTTGTAAATTCCAGTTGAATTAAATTTATCTGTATTGGAGAGTCCATTGGATAGCAAACTACCTATTTTATTGGTGGTCCTGTACGCTACTTTGTAATCTCTTTTCTTCAATATGTTCGCAAATTTGTTGCTTAGGTGGTTTCCGTAGGTGACTGTGACATATTTGTTGTGTCTATTTTTTGTGGTTAGGGGGTTTTTCTTCTTATTTAAAATTCGGTCAACAATTTTTGGGTTGTATCCATTATCGGCTGCAATGAACTTGATTATGTTTAATTCTCTCTGGTAGTTGTCAGGGCTCATTGGAATGCTATTGAGGCGGTGTACAAATGAATGGAATGCTGCCATTTTGTGCGGAAAACGCTGTACCGGTAGCTGATTTTGTTGTTATTGCGATATATGGTTAGATCTAGGTAGTTTAATTTCATGTCTTGTTCTATTTCATTTTTGAATTTAATTTTCAGGTGTTTGACGTTGAGATGATTTGTGAAGATGTCAATTTGCCTACCATTCCCCTTAAAAACACATATTGCGTCGTCTGCATATCTTTGGTAAAATATGATGAACAAGCTGTTTGACACTATCATCAAATTAGACAGAGAAAGGGAACCAGAAACCACCGATCAGCTGATTTCAGATGACGTCACTTGACCTTCGACTAAACTCCAGTCGCGGCCGGCTCGACATAAGCGTGCACACATCGCGATGGTTTCTGTCTGTAAATACTTTGTAAATATAATGTGTTTTTGTTTTGTGTTCGGTAAAAACTTTATCTATTTATTATAAGCTGTCTTATAAATCCCTCCCAGGATAATTTCAATTAATTTCAATTTCAATTGTTGAAATCCCTCCCAGCAACCAGAATCACAAAAACTAGTGCCACTTCCATTGACTTTATCTGCACAAACATCTCAGACTCAAACATCCTCTTCACCGTATTCGAAGCTGGCCTATCTGATCACACTGGACAAACATGCACTGTTAACACCCTCAATGAAAAACCACCAAAGCCAGTGGCAAGCTTAAAACGAAACTTTTGCACTCAGAATCTCAACACACTAAAACAAACCTTAGAAGGGGAGCAATGGGACAATGTAAAAAATGCTCAGGATGCTGATGATGCCTACAAGCTTTTCTATGAAACAGTGAGGAGGGCCCTGGACCACTCATGCCCCATTAAAAAGACAAGACCCAGAAGAAAAACAAAACCTAGCGCATACCGTGACGAACAGGCAAGTCACTTAAAAGATATCTATCTGAACTCCCTGAAAGCATTTCAGATCTCAGGGTCTATTGCTGATAAAGCCATCATGACTGCTAGAAAAAAAGATTATGACCTAAAATTGAGAAATCTTCAACAAAAAGCTATATCCAACCATATTTCTCGATCACAAAATAAATCCAAAGCCTTGTGGAATGTCGTAAACTCTGAGCGTAAAACCAAACAATCACTGGAACACAAATTTCAACTAAAAATCGACGGACAGCTGGAAGAAAATCCTAAAACTATAGCAAACCATCTCAACCTCTATTTCTCTCAGATTGGCGAAAAAACCCTAACCACAAATCAACAGTCAAATCACTCACCAAGCAAAGATACAAACCCACGTCAATTTCAGTTTCAACCCGTAACCATCAGAGATGTAAAAGACGCCATAGCAACCTTAAAATCCAAGCTATCCTGTGGAATTGACGAGATCCCAGCTAAAGCTGTAAAACACTGTGCAAATCAACTGGTGATTCCGTTAGCAACTATCATCAATAAATCTTTTTTGCTAAGCCAGTTCCCATCCTTGCTGAAGATCTCAAAAATATACCCTAAACACAAAAAAGGCTCTGCTACAGATGTTGAAAACTACCACCCTATTTCACTCATATCCGTATTCTCCAAAGTAATTGAAAAAATTGTTCTAACCCAATTAATGGCTTTTTTTGCAGAAGAAAAACTCATCAGCCAAAACCAACATGGATTCATTAAGGGAAGGTCCACATCAAGTGCACTTACAAATATTGTTGAGTTCATCATCGACCAGCTAGAAGAACGCAAACATGCCTCAGCAGTAATGCTTGACTACAGCAAGGCATTTGACTGTCTGGGCCACAAGCTAATCACAAGAAAACTAGCATCCCTTGGAATTAAATGCAGGGCGAATGCATGGTTTGCTAACTACCTTCACGGACGAACGCAGGTTGTCGAAACTCAAGAATCATCCAATGGAATGAAGAAAACATACATATCAGAGCCACAGCCGGTCAAGAGAGGAGTCCCACAAGGGTCTGTGCTTGGCCCTGTCTTGTATGTTCTATTTACAAATGACTTCCCTAGCATGATCAAGGAAAACAGTACGTCTGAATGTATCATGTACGCAGACGATACTACTATCCTCTTGCACAACAACAGTGCAGAACAACTGAACACAGACTCTCTCACCACACTCACCAGAGCAAAAATCTACTGCAAACAAAATGATCTGGCCCTCAACCATACAAAAACTGTTCGAATGAATTTCAGCCGTAAAACAGAGCAAATAGCTGACCTAACAGATGTGAAAACTGTACAAAATTTCAAATTATTAGGAATTACACTAGATACTGGCCTTACCTGGAACAATCACATCGATGATCTTTGTAAGAAACTCCGCACTGGTGTACACGTGGTAAGAAGAATTAGATGGATTGGTGACTTATTATCAGCAAAAACAGCGTACCATGCTTTAATGGAGTCACATATACAATATGGTCTTGTTGTCTGGGGCGGGACTACTGAAAGCAACCTTAACAGAGTATTGAAGCTGCAGAAAAAAGCGATACGTATACTTGCCACCCCTCAACCCTCAGGCAGCTGCAGGGAAGCTTTCAGATCGCTTGGCATTCTAACTGTTGTAAATCTTTACATCAAAGCAGTAGTCCTTCTGGTGAGTGAGTCTGATCTGCCAAAAAGTGCAAATTTTCACACTTACAACACCAGGCGAGGAAACGACTTCATTCTGCCAGTACATCATACCACGCAGTATGCCAGAAAACCATCCTACACTGGCCGCAAAGTTCACAATAGCCTACCACCATCACTGAAGTCACTGAAGGGAAAACCGCTGAAAACACAACTTCACAAGTGGCTGATAGACAGACCTGCCTACTCCTTGAAGGAATTCCTTGAATCCGATCCAAATCATTAACTCAAAATAAATTTTTCATGATATTTTTAAGCAAAAAAACTCTTGTAGCCACTAGTTTTAAGTTATATTATTGTATTTTTATTGACGCCATTGTATTATTCTTAATGAAAATACAAAATAAAGAATGATTTGATTTGATAACGAATCGTTCTACGAGGATTGACCCGATGATGTGACTGTCGTCACGAAACCGGTCGTCATCCAACAACACCAAAGGATATTGAACAAGGTAACTGTTTATTTTATTATTAACATCTTCAATATCCAGTAGTAGGAAAATGAACTCTGACCAAAGTTTATGTTGGAGATCTGAAGATCCAAAAGTACAGTCAAAACCAGAAGAACAATTTTACATTGTGAAGTAGGCCTAAATTTATGAAATAGATTGTCCGTTTCACTTTGAATCTTGCGATCGTAGTTGGGTCGGAGGATCCAAAATGCATGTCAGATTGGAAGATCCAAAAGATGAGTTATTGCTTCTCTCAGATCGCTGAAAAATGGGGAAAAATTCAACCTCAAAGGGTTTGTTGTGTAAAATTAATTTGTAAACTCCATGATTTAGACATTATGGGCAAAGAGCTCTGTTGGTTTAAATCATACTTGGAAGATATCCAGAAATAATTTTAATAATTAATTTTCAAAAATTAAATCCTAAACCAGAAACATAAAATATTTTGTGCCACAAGGGTCTGTTTTGGGTCCTGTACTGTTTTATGCTATTTGGGTGGTTTCCTGCTTTAGGCTTAATAAATCATAATCATTTTTGTTTATTTGCAGATAATATCAATTTTACTATCAGTGGAAAAAGTTAGTATGGTGTCTTTGCAGAGCCTCAACAAACAATTGATCAAGTTAATGATAAACTAAGTAATCTTAATTTACTACTGAATAAAAATAAAACCACTATAATAAATTTTAAGGGTAAAGATATTTTAAAATTAAATTATTCAGATTGTGCGTAGCCTCAACTATATGATAATACCCTACTACTTTTTTGGGCCTACAATTAGTTCACACTCTTAACTGGACAAAACATGTTGAGAAAGTGTGTTTTAAAATTAGATCAGAATGTCTAATTTTAACAATGTCTAATTTTAAGAGGCGTAAATCATTCGTCTATTTTGTCT